ATACGAGATATGGCATAGTGACTGGAGTACGTGTGCTCTTCCGATCTCCCCAAAACCCCAAAACCCCGACTTAGTTTGAATTAGGATATAAAAAGAGCAAAATGTGAAATATTAAGAATTAGCTATCAATAATTTTATGTTAGGTCAATGATGATTGATTGATTTATGTTTAATATTTCTCATAAAAGAATTCAGTGTCTAAGATTGCCTATATAACCAGTAGACTCTCTGTTTCTAATTTACTCGCTGAGACCATACTCATTGGATGCTACCGCGAAGTTTAGCTCCTCATCGATCTATTTTGATTTGATAGGACTCTCAACTGCACCCATTACACTTGGTTTGTCCTAATAGTGAAATAAGTCAATTAGTCGATAATTGGTGAATAAACCTTACCTTAAGTATCTATTTCCTGACTGCTTCTGCAACAGCTTTAGCATCAATTCTGACCTGAGAACTCATCTCATTGAATCTATCCTTGATTTCTTTAAGCCCTTCTTGCTTCTTTTCAATTAGCTGATTTTGCATCTGCTCAATTTCAGCCTTCCTTTTGTCTTCATACCCCTAAATTTTCTCGTCCTTTTTAATATCTTTGGAGTTTTTAAGCATATTAATCATTTTCTAATACTTCATCTTAATCTCTTAAGTAGATGCGAATTTCTCCTCTGCGTGGTTCTCAAGGAATTCCTCTATTGCCTTCTCTTTTTACTCTTACAAACTTTATAAAGCTGACTTGCATTACTCCATTATGTCTTTAACGTTAAAGCCCAGTGTCGTAGTGGCAGTTGATGCAGGTGCATTAATAGTTCCAGTTCCATTGTTTTTAATTTAAGTATCAGCTTTCTCCTCTTTCTATGAATCTACTTGTCTTAATTCTTGGGCAGCAGGCTAGCTATTCTATTGCTACCTCGATTAAAATTCATCATTAGTTTCAAGGATTTTACAGATCTTTGATTAGTTGTTAAGTTTGACTGTTAGGTCATTATGCTGATTTAATTCTTCTATCAACTGTATCAAATCTGCAACATCCTCATCATCATTCATCGAGTTAGTTCTATTGTACACGATTCTCGATAAAGCCATACTTATCTTAGATGCAAGTCCTCCTCCAATGGTTCCTTAAGATTTCCCATAGGAGAAAAAGCTTTCATTTCCTGAGATATGATTCCCACCGCCTCCAAAGTTATAGACGGAGCTATTCATTTTTGAGAGTAATCCTATTTTACTCTGTCCAAACTTCTTAGTTGAATCATAGCCAATATTATTCACAGATTAAGTTTCGAAGTCATTGTTACTTTAGTCAGCTTGTGCGCCAAATCCACCGTCTTTAGCAGTGCGCATAGCATTGAAATTGAAGCTGAGACTGGAATTCATAAACATCTTATTGTGACTGACTGATCTATTGTTTTTACTACGCTGTCTCTCAGCTAATCTTTTTCTGAATTGCTCACTTTGTAAATGCTATTCTCTCTAAACTACCTTTTTGACTTCTTCCTATTTTTGCATTTGTTGCTCTATGATCTATTCCTATTTGACCTCATGCTTCTTTTCATGATTATATATTTTAAGCTAAAGAGCATCTTCAAACTTCTTTTTCGCGATTTATTTTTCCTAAAATAGTTTTATCAACATTAATACATTACTCTCATTTATTTCAAATTCGCGGATTAAGGAGGTCTCATTTAATTTGTTTGAACATTACCTTGTATACTTTTCAAAGTCTATTGGACAGTCTAGTTTTGGTCATTGAAATCCACTAACAGTTTGATGTCGGGTCTATTTAACATGCCATGAAGTTTGTTTTGGAAAAATCGTTGATTATCAGTATCGCTGTTACAATTGTAGTACTCAATCGCAGTCTATATAACCATATTAACACCGGTATTATTACTGTATACAAATCCATCAACTTTTTAACGTGTTCCTTTGTAGCATCTGGTCTTTCGCACTGAATCTCAAGCTCAATAACAGACTAAGCAAATTTTTTAGGCAACTGCATAGTCTTCTTTAGCTTGGCAATCTCCTGCAAATCTTTGTGCATTCGTTGTTACTTGGTTCCTGTGAGGTCGGCTTGCTGGGAGGAACGAATATCTCTGAAATGAGGCTGAGAAATTTCCTCACGTTTTTTCGAACTGAACCAGCGTTTGAACATTCTATTATCTCCCTTTTAATTATATAATAATTTAGTATTAAATTTTTAATAGGTTTGCAGGACAACAATCAATTAATAATTATTAACAGTATGTTAAATCATCTATCTTATTATATAATTGTATATGCAAATTCTGATACAATATTTATCAAAGTCTAATCAAATGATCGTATCAAAACGAAATTTGATTTCAGTCACTTTTATATTAGTCTTCACTCTCTTGACTTTCAAATAGTTGCTCTGGATATTTATCTTAGTCATTTATGAAATAATTCTACTGGAAAATTTATTTTCCTTCATTCTTAGTGTCATTTTACAGATAATTGTTCTTTTTTATTCCTTTATTTGACCTTTTTTCTATTACTGATTTCTTGAGGGAAATAAGTGCTTTGCAATTGTAGCATTGATGATCAATCTCCTTGTATTCATCAAAGCAATGAGTTTGCTTAGTGTCAAGACATGTGCCGAACAGCCAACAAACTCCAAAAGTCATATAAATAGGTGCCTGAAGTACTTTGGAGCAGGCAGTATCTCTCAATTTTACCTCAGTAAAACCCTCATACTCGCATTCTTAGCACTTTGCAGGGTAAGGCACTGTATAATTTACTTCAGCTATTGGAATCTTTGTCAGAAGATGATTTTCATAATAGTGGCTGTAAGAGTCTTCAAGAGCAGTTGGAGCAGAAGATGCCCCTTACACAGTTTAGTTAAATAGTTGATTAGAGATCAGAGTGTTAGTTGAAAATTTCCTATTTTTAATGAGGGGCTTTTGCAAACTAGAATTAAAATCCTGAGATAGTGGTGAGTTCATTCTTCCAATTTTCTTAGTTAAGAATTTATATTATCATTTATTGATCAATACTTTCATATAACTAATCCATAAACTACTTTTTAAGAAATCCTTCATGATGGGGTTTTGGGGTTTTGGGGTTTTGGGGTTTTGGGGAGAT